TCTTTGTCTGGTTTGAGTTACCTCCCTTTGTGAAACGGAAAACTCAGCGTTTCCCTCATTTCAGGGTTAATAAACCCAGGGTTTTCACTAAACCTGCTTTGTGAAACGGACCCCAGGGGTGCTGGTGATGAGACACGGCAAGCCATTTCAAAGTTTACGCTCCAGTGATGTCACAAGTGGGATTGTCCAATCCAGATGTATGATGGATAGGTCAGCCTACCGGTTAATACAGTCCACTGGGTAGGCTGGTGAAATAGTGGCCCTTTTTAAAACCGTTTTAACATTGTCTTGTAATGTAACACTACTGCTGAGACTTTAATTCCAAAGCAACTTATAATATGTTTAGTAGCGGTTGTTTTTATAAATAATTAACAAGTGTCCTTCGTAACAATTCCTATTTTTGGTCGAGTGCAGCTGAGAATTGAGAACTGACGATCACTGCAGACAAGTAACCCTGACCAATGTTTTGTTCTGTCTGCCCATTCCTCCTTCCATTGTTCCTTCATTCCTTCCATCTTTCTGTCTTCTTTTTTCATTGTCTTTCTTTCTTTGCATCGGTCTATCCTTTCCTTCTGTCATACTTTCCCATTTTCTCTCTGTTCTTTTTCGTCTTTCTTTATTCTTTCTGCCCTCCTTCTTTCTTCCCTCCCTCCCTCCCTCCCTCCCTCCCTCCCTCCAGGATGATGCGTATCTTCAACCGTCTCCACAAGGCCATTGGCCTCCTGGAGTACTTCAGTAATCAGGACTGGGAATGGAAGTCCGACAACATGAGCATGCTGCTGAACCAGCTCACACTGGAGGACCGCAAGGTTGGGCGCACACATGCATACTTTTTAAATGATCGTGATTCAATAATTACTGTCAAGTAATTACCGTTTACATGGAGAACGAACAAACCAACCCCCCTCCTCGAAATGTGTATATAATTGTTAGGTTATCTTTATTATATTATTCATATATTATATTGTATAATATTTCCAAATTCCCCAGCTGGGATTATTAGATTATTTTATTTTAAGATACCTTCTTTTATGAGGTGATGGTGCCACCTAGTGTTTGAGAGTGGATTTTCAGTCCTTCGTAAGTAAAACAGGAAAAAAAAAAATTACATTCTCTGCACTTTTCAGACATTTAACTTTGATGTGCGCCAGCTGAACTGGCCCGAGTACATCGAGAACTACTGCATCGGCACCAAGAAATATGTTCTCAACGAGGAAATGTCTGACATTCCTGTTGCCCGGCAACACCTTAGAAAGTAAGTTTCGGGGCGTCTCTTGCACATGATCCAAACCCTTCTGTGTTGCTGCTGTTAGTATGCTTGTTTGTAATGTTTTAGTTGGTTGAGCCCACCAGAGCAACGAGAGCATAAGTCCCCCCCAACAAAAACAGAAGCAGCTCACCCAAATACACTATCAAAACAACCTCCCCTCCCAAGACTGAAAAATACACATGGACCTTGTATTTATTTATTTATTTATTCATATGCAGTGTTAATGCTTTGCTCTTCTAGTTGATCAATTTATAAATGCATCAATTATTCAGAGGGGAAGGCTGTAACCTCACTGAATTTCAAGACTGTAACACTCACAACAAGCTATATGTGTTGTTCTTTTATTACAATGTATGTCTGCACTATTGTAGTTTACCATTTTATACTTTTATTTAGCATCTTTTAAATGATTTGAAGTGCATCTTGTCTTCATCTTGAGTGCATCTTGAATGCGATGTGTGATTCCTGCCTATGTAAAGCACTTTGAATGACTGTTTTCGAAGGTAAGCTATATGGATAAACATGCTATGTCTCCTTCTCTTCAAACTATTCCTGCTGTTTATATGATTTGACCAGGCTGAGGAACATCCGCTACACCTTCAACACGCTGCTCCTGGTCTTCATCTGGAGGGTCTTCATCGCCCGCTCGCAGATGGCCCGCAACATCTGGTACTTCGTGGTGAGCCTCTGCTTCAAGTTCCTCTCCTACTTCCGTGCCTCCAGCACCCTAAACAACTGAGGACATGTGACACACCTCCCCCTGAGGCCCTTAGGCTGTCCAGGAAAGGCACATATCCTCCACTTCTTCTTTTTTGGGGTCATTTGGACATTCTGGGTTTCACAACAGGGTGGTGGTGGTGGTGGTGGTGGTGGTGGTGGGGGGGGGGGAATAAGGATGGCGTTGTCCACTTGAAGAAAGAAAAAACAAACAAATGGGGGTTCTTTAGCCATTCGAATGGTTTTGTTTGTTTTGCCATTAACATGCACTGTCTCCAACCCGCATCTTACGAGAAAACGCATTTGACATGTTTTAGTTTTTTTTGACATTATGGATTATATATGCAACAATACGCGTATTTGAGTCTTTCCGGAGCTTTCCAAGCCCCCCATGTGTGTACTGTGTTCTTCAGTCCAGACAAATTGCCTTTGAAAGAACATCACGCAGACTTCTTTTGTATGCTAGGAATGTTTCCGCATTTTACTTTTCTTCTGTTTCTTTACTTCCAGTCTTGGAAAGTTCCCTTGTCCTGCCTTTTTGAAAACATTGCTGGGTCTTTGTTGTATGTACTGCCAGTCGACTGTTGAGACAACCAACCCAAACCCACGCAAGAAACAATAATGGCATAACTACTGGCTACACTAGCTACATAACGTACACCTTGATGTTCTCATTAAGCAAACAAACGACCGAAAACCCATGAGGTACTAGCGCGTTGTGACGGTAAAACGTCCAGTTTGGATGCTCGCCACTCTCTGCCTGTTTGTACAGCGGTTTGTACTGAAACTAAGTTTACTATTTTTACATCTTTATAAATCCTTGTGTCAAAGGCTGTTCTCTCGTACACGATCCACCTTGGCCGTGTATTATATATAAATAATAACGTGTTGGCATTCAGAAGATCTGTAAATAGGTTGTATATTATTGCTATTGATTACCAAAAACAAACCAACAACCAACATTTGACTGTTTATTTTGCTTGGCAACTGTCCGGATTCTTCCACGAGCTTCCTATCGAATGCACCAAACGTGAAAAAAGACGAGTCTGAGTTTGATTTAAAAACTAGATTTGTGTACAGTATTGTATATGTTCTGAGCTGTATGTCTCGACAGAATACAAATAGAAATCTATACGATTTTTTTTTTTACACCTGTTTATGCAAAAGTCCATGTCTTCGGTGTAACCATGGCAAATGTTCACCAAAGTGTGATAAGGCGAGGGCTACTATAACTGCACTCTCTTGGGAATGGCTCCACTGTGTTTTCCATTTGATGGCTGAAATTTCTTTGTCATCGTAGCTGTGCGATAAATGCCAAATGTCGTCCAAAAGTCAGTAAACGACCCCTGCAGGACCGAAGGTGCATCGGCAGCAAACTTGGCTTTGATTTCATCTCTGCTGCTGTGCAAAAGTTGTCACTTTTGAGAAGGGAAATGTTTCATCCACCTTTTTGTTTCACCTTCTGCTCAAAAACATCTTGTACCAGTCTGCTTGGCTAAAGTCAAATAAACAAAATGAGCATAATGTGTCATGTTGCTGCCTGTTATTCCTTTTACTTTTACCTTTACATTTTATAAGCCACAATATACCTTCTAGTATATACATAAAATTAGCTCCCATGGGTACTTTCTCTCAATTCCTTTCTTCCTTTCAAAAAAGATGTCATGTATTTTGTAGTACTAAAATGTGTTGCTTTTATGTGTAGCTGGATTCTAGTTGCATGGAATGAACCTGCATGGAATGCATGAACTCTCGGGTGTTTTTAACAGCAAAACAAACAACCTACTACTCAATTCACTGGTTGTTCAGACTTTAATTGGGGAGCCCAATCCAACAACAACCATTTGAATACATCAGTTACTGGAACAACATTTTTAGCAAGATAATTATCCAGAAAATAATTACAGGCACATAAATAACTGTGGGCAACAGGGATGTGCGGTTATAGTCGGCAGTATCTGCACACTTGGGGTGAACATTTACATTCAATTCCAGTCACTGCGGCCATAACATGTTGGGATACATTTTATGCATTGTTTTACTTTAAAGAAACAAGCCATCCTTGTTGGGTCATTATTATTATTGATTATTGATTAATAATAATTAATAGAACCGGGGAGTATAAAATGCCCTTTTTTAAGATGGCCATCTTCTTTCTTTACAACAGTACGACAATGGGGAGACCTAGCCACTGGCAACCTTCTCTTCAGGCCTGTGGTACGCCAACAGCGGGGTGAGATGGTCTTTCTTCTGCTCGCTCGCCTGCGCCACCTGGTGGTGGATGGTGTACAAGAGGATTCAAAACAAACTACAAATGGACAAAACAATCTACAAATGGACAAAACAAATACCAATCTCTGGACAGGACTGTCCAACGTATTTCACCAATGTGTATGTTATTGTTGACAATCTTTTCACACCTTTAAAAGTGAACAGTCAAATGTATACATGTTTTAGTAGCATAGGACAACAAGTTTTAAATTGTGAAAATGTGTTGACAAAAAACGCTACTGGTCAGGACTCACATCTCTGGGTTTGTAGACTCCGAGTTTAAAGCGGCAGCAGACGACGTCAAAACAGAAGCCCACAAACCCGTGCAGCATACCTTTAGTAAGAAGATATAGGGTGGTGGTGGGGGATATATGTTACAATGTTTTTCATAAAATGTGTACCGAGTAAGCTTATGTAGTGACTTGCCTGGCTTTTAACCTCTGAATTGTAATAAAATGTCCAATTTACCTTTCCTGCAAGCCTAATATTTTTTGACTATTTCCGTTGGGACCATGGTGACTGTAAGGTCTGTATTAACCATGATATTTAACCAATAATTGTGTTTACATACCATTTTATGAGTCAAAATATTAAACACCATATTGAAACCATTATATTCCTTGTATTAATTAAGCCATTCAGTAACTTTATTGTCAGACTCCTTTATCCAAAGAAACTTGCAGTGACTTCAGACACGTCATTAAGGAGCAGGTATGGGGTAAGGCAGCTCAGAAATGCCTACTGCCAGGGTTGATTGGGGCTCGAACTCAGTACCTTTCGGCTGAGAGTCGAACTCCCTTGCCACTAAGCTATCCTGACCCCTATGCAGTATATGCTGTTGACATATGATGCAAAGTTTTCAGCAAATATTTTAGCATTTTATGTTTTACCCGCCAGGGTAACTCGGTCCCATCAGGATTTCAGTTGTGGTGAAATATGGAATACTGTGTTTTTTGCGATAAAGTTGCAGAAATTAGGGAAAATAATGGCTGCTATTAAAAAATATATATATTTAATTCAATTGGAGATGTTACATGACATGCCTGCTTGTTCCATAAAGAAGGAAGTGAGTGTTTTGACGAGACGTTTCATGCGGGGAAGTGTGGTGATTGGACCAACGCGAGGGAAAGTGCGACGATTGGACGGATATGGAAGCTTGCATAATTTCGCTGGTATGTAGTTGGTTGCTTTTGCGTGATTTGACGCAGGCGGTGGTGAAATCCTGGAGGGCTGTTAGTTAGCAGTTAAAAACACAAGCTGACCTGTCGTAGAGAAGACTCCCCCGACAATGCCACAGAGGCGGACCAGGAACTGCCAGAGGGGCATGTGCTGTTCGCTCACCGTCACCATCAGGGAGCTGGTGTCGTACTTGACGAAGATGCCTGACACGCCATGGCTCCCAGCTGCGTGGTCGATCACTCGTTCCTGGACCAATGAATAATGGCACGGTTGCATTAGAAATAAGGTCATTTGAAATAAGGTGTTGGACAATGTTATAACTGTTTGCTACTTGAGGCATCTCGCTCTAGCAGACATGTTTATCCAAAGCAACTTGTAGTAAATGTATTATTTTCTCATTAAAAAGTGCTGTATGTAAAATTAGAGAGCAGAAAAGGGAAACATTTTTAAACTAAACCAAAAAATGTAAACCCTACATTCCTCTGCCATTGAGAAGTGTGCATTTCACAGATCTGTGATTGACAGGCAAGATGGATTCCCCAAACCAATCAGGGAAGAGATGCCCTGATTTGTCAAATTGGCCGGGCGCGGTCTAAGATCTTAATTTGCTCATATAGAGACCGGTGCAGTCCACTCAAAACAGATAGCTCTTACAGAGCGTTTCACTGTGTACCTGAAGCCTGTGTGTGTGTACTGACCCGCTCTGTGACAGAGAACTGGTGTGTGTCTGCAGAGACCTGGTAGGTGTGTAGTTTGATGGGCACCACTGTGATGAAGTACTGGAACATCTGGTTATCTGGTGAGGAAAAGCAATTTGAGACAAATGTACAGACCAAAAACTGGTCTTATATATTGGATGATAATACTTATAATCTGTCAGTGCATCAAACTAAATAATTAAATGTTTCAAATGAGAAAACTAGTCTTCATACTTTGTACATGCACAACAGGATTATTCAAATTACTTATTTTTTGTCATTCAGCCAATACTTCCATTCAAAGTGACAGCGATTTTCTCATGACTGAGCAGGTAGGGGTTGGGGCATGTTGTTCTGGGACACCTACAGGTAGACTGTGGACATTGGGGTTGGAACCAAGACCCTTTCTTACTGTTGCTGGTGGTTTTCTGTGTTCCATCCAGGGGGTGGAGGACTCCTGGGACCTCCTCCCCGAAGGACAAGTGGTCTATCCGGTGGGAGAAGTTGTACGCTGGAGGAGAAGGAAGATGGAAGATTTTAACATGTATAGACACAAAATACTTTAGTAGTGTAGTAATTGATACACATCCAATAGGCCATACTTTCGTGGCTCACAAAGGCAGCGATGTGTGCATGGCCACGGGGGTGATGGATAGGCCTGAAAAGGAGCAATAGATTATTGATTTACAAAATTAATAATAACATGGGGAACAGCATGCACAAGATTTTAAAGAAAACTTGAATTAACTTTCGGAGTGCTTCTTTAACTTATGCAAAGTGACATTTGGCTAGTAAAACAAGTCATGAAAGAATGAAACCTAATGGGATGTGTTTTTGTCATTCGAGATTGAATTGGATTGTACAAAAGTGACAACACATGCTAGCTGTATGATAACCCGTTGCAGGCTTTTTATGATGGGGAAGGGAAACCATCATATCATTATTGGTACAAATTCGAAGTTTGGAAACGTTCCACAAGTAATCACTACCAGTACCAGAAGAATGTAGCTGTAGAGGACGTTAAGTATCTTGGCTTGAGAAGGACTCACTTTCCCACCGTGATGTGGAAGTTTCCGGCCACCTTGTTGACATAGACGTGCCCATGTATCCTGCACGCGCTCAGTGGCTCCGAGGCTGCGTCTTCTCTATACACACACACACACACACACACACACACACACACACACACACACACTTTTAATTGAATGCATCGTACAAGAGTGTCCCAAAGTTATTGAGCAGCTTTAAAAATTGGGATAGAATATATGCATGGATACCCTAGTAGATTTAAAATAATGATCACTGCTCTTATTTTGATGGGGTTTGTTTTGACTGACCTCGGGGGAAGGGCCGTTGGCGCCCCCTTCAGGACCGTTTTATACAGCACGTCCTGGAGGGAGTGCTGCTCTCCCAAGCGGTTCTGGATCACCTGCAAGGTTCTGGTTTCAAAATAAATTAAACGCACTGGCATTACGATGCAGATTAGATTAATTTATATTCAGTATCATAAACAATTACCAGGTATTTCTGGGGCGTGTAGTCTAAATTAAAAAGCCATACCTGTGCCAGAGTCTTTGTTGAGGCGACAGTTCGAAGATCACCTGAGCAAGGATACAAAAGTCAAAAAATGTGGCTGATGTAATACAGGTGTAAATAACCGGTGTTGGTGTTGTTCCAGACTATTTAACTATTAAATTAGCACATTATAATGCTAATAGTCTGCTTTATCAGATTAACAGATTATTTATATAGATTATCAAAAACCTTTTATAAAACGGTACTCACAGGTTCATATTTCAGACCATTTGACGTAATCATCGTTTCAGCCAAATCCAGAATATCCGCTCCCACGTCTAAAATCAAACGTTTATCGTTTTAAATACATTTCTAAATTAATCCAATGCAGTTTTTTGCAGTGATTGCAGATTGCAGAATGGTGCAACACTTACGCTGGCATTTCATTGCAACTGTGATGTCAATGTTTATTCTCATTTTGCTATAAAGTGGAAAGAAAAATAGGTTTGAGTTTTACACTTAAGTCCAATTCATCCAAGTGTCACCGTGGCAACGTGGACGTATCTACCTGGAGAAATCCTTGTCCACCTCATATTCATACTTCATCCAAGTATCGCGATACACGAAGAACTCCAGGACGGTTAAAACGGTCATGGCGCTGAACGCCAACAGCGAGACTGTGGAGGAGGATTAGACACGAGATGAATCCAGACGTCGTGTTATTTACAACAGTACATTGCTGTGGATGTGATTATGCCCAGACCAGAGGACAGAGGACCCACCAGTCCCCCCGGACGCCGAGGTCTCCACGTAGCTCTGCGGGACTTTGGGGAAGGCGTCCAGCTCCTTCACCAGACTCAGCGCCTTCCTCCTGGACAGCCGCCTCATGATGATGGTTTATTATGGAGGATCAGATCCATCCACAGACTGTAGGGTCCATCTCGTCCACCAACACAATAGCACAGGACAATTAAACCGGCGTTGCCTTAACAATGAATGGTTGTATTTGCAAATCCCAAGATAACCTATCAACGAAGATACGTCGATGGTGCAATATAAATACATTTGGGGATTTTAACCGTCAATCTTCTAGCTAGACACTTAACTACCTTTAGCAATTACAGCTAGCCAAAACTTACTGCATTTCCACCATTTGTGTCACGGCATTGTAGGTGTCATGAATCGGTTTGTATGTGTAGCTACCTGTGTTGTCATATTGTTGTCCTTCGATGTGTTCACGGCAGATTTGCTGCCAACGTGATTCATTAAGACCGTTAAACCGACCAGGTCGGTGAGGTGGTGTGGTGCAGACGGACGGACGCCTCCACAGACAAGGTGTCATGTCCTACTCATCACTGCTCGAGTTTGGTCGCTAGATGGCGCCTCAAACCCTGGATGGCGCAGCAAACAGCAAAACATGTGTGCATTGTTTTGAATAGGCCTATATTGGTATTATGGATGTGAATTGATATTGAGAGTTTTAACTGAAATCAGATTATAACTCACCTGTCTTCTTTTTTTTTTAGAGCAATAATACATTATTTTAGACAGACAGAAGCAGTTTTGATGTCAACTGAATTAGGTTATAGGACTGTTTGTTCACCCTTAATATAAACTATTGCCTGTAATGCAGTGACGTTAAAGTAATGAATTTTGAATGATGTATTTTGTCCACTGTGCTGTAAGCTAGCTTCCTAGGCTCATACTCTGGGGTTCCTTGTTTATTTATTCATGTGTTATTGTTTACATAAAACTCATCTTTATTTCTATACATAACATGATTTCTGAGTTTGTGGCAATTTATTAAACCGCAGGAACAAACAACTTTGAAGAGAAATATTGATGGCTACTTGATGGCTGCATTGATTTTTGGCATTCAACGTTTTGTTTGCAATGTTATCACTTCTATATCATCTGGCCAGATGATATCATTATGTCATACTGAATGCACATGGAACCTTGTTAGCACAAAAAAACCTTTGTTTAAAAAGGATATAGTTTGAGTGAGATAACCTCTTTAGAAATGACCAAATTTCCCATTTAGGTTGATGATTGATCTTTATGCAAATTCGTTTTAATGTTAAATTGGAATAAAAACATGACCTGAGATGGCTTTGGGTTCAGAGGCCCTAAATGCTTTCAAACTCAACTACCTTTGAAGGCCACAAAGATGGAAAGACACGTTTATTTAGGCCTATATAACATTCATAATTAAGAGCCATTCTAAAATAATAGTAGGCCTATCATTATTATTCTCATAATTTGTGTGTCCTTGTTGGACCCCCCTGCAAGGGCGATTGTCGACGTCAAAACCCACCAGTTTTGACGAAAACTGGTGGGTGCTCGTCCCCAGCGTAACTGACGCCTATGACCCCTTGTAACTGTCGATACTCACAGCCTCACAAAGAACTACGATTTCCTGTCGTA